GCCAGGTCCTTGCTCTCATCAAAAGATCTAGCCCTGGTAACACCACGACGAGATGAACCACCCTGAGAATCGTAAACTTCATTTGCTATGGCCTTATAGTACTCATCCTTTCTGCTTTGAAAAACCTCAACATATCTCCTACCAATAGTTTCCCTATTCCTCTGCAGGGCGAAATCTATTTGAAGAGGATAACCCAAAACGCAATAAGCTTCCCCAGTGGACTTGCCCCCCTTGTGGACAAACAGGACATCTACCACATCTAAATCATGGAAGAAATCAACAATTTCAGCCTCCGTGCAATCAAAGGGTAGGCCTCGAAGCCGAACCACTGGGAATGGCGGGGGATAGTAAGAATATGCAGGAGGTGGTGGAGGTGGAGCATTGTACATATAACTTGGACCGGGAGGAGTACCATAATACGAAGACCCCTGATCCATCAACCGCTGCCTTTTGAACCCCGTTTCCCTTGCATCTCCACTGTCCACGAATTTACTATATAGACATTAACCAGGTCAGTCCTACATTCATAATAAACCAAGGAAATACAATATATAGTCTATTTTCACTTCCAACTCCACAATTTTTTCATGAATTAGACTCTTAATCGATATCTTCAAATAAAAGACCACAGAAAACATAAGCATGCCACTACTTAAAAAAACATAATTTGTATCAAAAACTCGGTCTATAACAAGCTAAATCTTGAGAAACATTCAATAACTTGGATTATTTCTATAAATAAAATATTTCAACAACCAGGTAACTAAGAATACAATGTCGAGACAACATTAAAACTAGTAAATATTAACTAACGCTTATTTGGCATCATCAAAATTTGATTTCTGCAAAAAAATTAACAATAAAACGAATTGAAGTCCTGGGTGTTCGAAAAAATTAAACTCAATATAGGACCACGAAAATAAGTAATTAAGCATACACAAGTGTTTTCGAGCTGCATTTATCCATAATCAAGCTACAATTTTTTAAAATAATAGATTTTCGCATTTAATTCTAATCCCAGAAAATCTGATCGGAGAAAACAAGAATTAACGGATAGAACAATCCAATAAAACTCAGTAGGAAAAAAAAA